GTGAGAGGCCCATGCTGCTTGCCCAGCTCTAGAAAAGCAATGGAAAACTGAATTTAATTCCCCAGAAAGTACGCTTGCCCCAATGCAGACCTTCCTGCAGATGCTACTGTAGGCTTCACAGGTGAATGAAGGCAGCTTCTTAAGAAGCACTGAGCAGCCACATAGCAGCCCAGTCATCATATCTCCCCACAGATGTCCAAGGCTCAACCATCCCCTGACCTAGAAACACATAAGGTGCCCACATGGTGTGCAGGGCTGCTTAAGAACACCCCTGCCCGTGACTGGTGATGATTATGATCTCTGAGCTCTGCTGGTCCTCACTGAGCTGTCAGCTTTCCTGGGGGTTAGAGTGAGTGAGCTCTGTTTGAGTCTCACTGTATGGAAGTCTTTGTCTCTGTGGAAAGGAGAATAGGGTAGAGAGTGAGGGGTTATTAGAAAAAATTAGCATAAGAAAGAAACCAATTGCAGGAGATAACCCTACTCACCCCACCTCTGTGCACATATCACCATAACAACCACCACCACAACAACAACCACCACCACCACAACCACCACCACCACAACCACCATAGCCACCATCACAACCACTATCACCACAACCACCACCACTACCATCATAACCACCAACACCACCACAACCACCACTATAACCACTACCACTAACACCACACCAACACCACCACAACCACTACCACCACCACAACCACTACCACCATCACAAACACCACCACTACCATAACCACCATAACCACCACCACAACCACCACCACCACCACCACCATAACCACCACCATTCCAGGCTATGTGTAACAAAAAGATGCATACACAGAAAAAAAACGCATGGTTTGTGATAGAGTACTTGCTTTGCATGCACAAAACCATAAGCTTAATCGCCTAGTAATGAAGGGAAAAAGAAGGAAGGAAGGAAAGAAGGAAGGAAGGAAGAAAGGAAGAAAGGAAAGGGAGAAAGAAGGAAGGAAGAAAGAGAGATAGATCTTTGGAGCTTGGATCTGCCTTCAGCTCTGATCAAGTCCAATTTGGAATTACTTCCAAGAACTACTTCCCTTTCTGTTATTAATCATGTATCTGTCCAAATCATTGTTCAGAGACATGAGAACATGGACACTTTAACAAGTCCCCTTTGAATTTGGATCTATACCAGTAACAGTAACACTCAAAGCCATGCAAGGCCAGTGCTAGACATCTACTTCCTTCCCACTGGCTGAATGACTGTCCCTAGGAGAGTAGGGAAGCCATGGTTGGCAGGCAGGAGTCTATTGTATCCATCCAATGTCAGTCCTTTGTGGAGCTGGAGGAAAGGGAGAAAGGCATCCCAGAAGAGGACATCCATCCTCTACCTCAGCATATGAGGGGCAGGGAACACTGCCTGGGCTGGGCAGAGGAGGACATGAGTCTAACACTAGACAGGGCCTGGATTGAGAGCAGAAAGCACAGAAGTGCCTGTGGGAGGGTATGAAAATGTACCCCACCACAAGTCCAGACTCTCAGGACTCTCTGATCTTGCAATCTTTTGGGTGTGGGTTGTGCAAGTGTTAGTACATATAGAGGACAACCTCAAGTGTCATTCTCAGAAGCCTTCTGAAATTTCTTTTAAGACATGATCTCTTATTGACCTAGAAGTCACAAAATAGGCTAGGGAGGCTGACCAGCAAGCCTCAGGGATCCTTCTGTCTCTGCCTTCTGTCTCAACACTGGGGTTACAAGAGTGTGCCACTACATACTCTTTTTACATGGGTTCTAGAAGTCCAAATCAGGTCCCCATGCATGCAAGATAAGCACTTTACTAACTAAGCTATGGTCACAGCCCCAAACTGACCAAGTGGCATTTCTGGGGTTGAACCAGTTGATATGTGATTTGTACCACTGATCAGTAAATACTACCAAAATGAAGGTTAATAAAGTTGGGAACATTTAAAAGAGCATTGTCTTTAAAAAAAAAAAGTTGTGTGTGCTTGTGTGTGTTCAAATGTATGTGTGTGTTGGAGGGGGGTACATATGTACTCCTATGTATTTGTATGTGGTGTACAGGCCAGAGGGCAAGCCAACCTCCAATGTTGTCTTCAGAAGACTGCCCATCTCCTTTGAGTCAACTCATCTGAAACTCACCAATTACTGTCTTCCCAGTCCCCAGTTGCCACGGACCAGCCTCAGCTTGGAAAGGGGTTCTGAGGAAGAGGCATTTAGGAGTGGTGAAAAGAACGACTTGAAGTCAAACCATGGGTTCAAGCTGACAGCTTGTGTACTGCTCAAGACAGCTTTCTGAAGATTACTAGACAGCTCATCCAGATAGCTCAGCTCTAGCAGACCAAAGCCCAGTCTTTTATTTACATACCAGTTCAGTCATTTACTCCAGGTTCTCTTTTGATTATCCCATGATTCAGCATTCCATGACCCTAGACCCTTGATTCTTACACATTTTTTTAACATTGCAAATGAATTCAAAGATCTGCCTGCCTTTATAAGCACAGACAATAAGCTAGCTAGGGTGGGATCCTGTCCGGAGATCACTATCCCCACCACTCCCCACCACACCTGATCCCATACTAGCTCTGTCCCAGGCTGACTTTGAATTCAGGAATCTGCCTGCCTTAGCTGACAATAAACTTAGCTGGGTGGGAACTTGCCCTGTGATCACTATTCCCAAATCTCTCTATCTCCTTCTTTGATATCTTCCTGACAAGCTGGCTCATAGTGCAGCTGCCTTTGTTCTTTTAGGTCTGTGAAGCCCCTTATACAATTCATATTGTATCCTTATATTATAAGCTGAGAAATTATACTTCTTGAACTCATGTTTTCAGAGTTCTTTCTCACAGCCTTAAGGGCTGTCCAGAAGGTCTCAGCATTTACCATTTTTGCTAAGGACATAGACACACCCTTGCCTCCCAGACTTGTGCTGTCTCTGATTATCATGGAGTCATTAACCTTGGCATAGAGGACAGTCCCTGATAACCTTGGCAGGGACAATATTTCACAAAGGAGGAACATGAAGTAAAATATGTATAAATATTTATAATATATGTGATATGTGCATATGCATACACACACACACACACACACACATACACATACACACACACACACACACACATAAGCCTCATACCCAGTGAGGGTATGCTTTTGAGCCTCAGCCTCAACAGCTATGACTTGAATCAAACTTCACTTGCAACCACTATAAGAAATAGTGAGTTGGGAGCTGAAGAGATGGTTCGGTGGTTAAGAACATGTACCATTCTTGCAGAAGACCTGAGTTCAACTCCTCCAAGGTATCAGGCAGCTCAGAACTGGCTGTAACTCCAGCTTCAGGGAATTCAATCCCACTGTCCTCTGCAGACACCTGTAATCTTCTACACACACCCTTGTACAGGATGCACTAACACACATAATGAAAATGTTAATACCCCAGGCTTGGTGGCACGCATCCTTAATTCTAGCACTCAGGCAGGATCTCTGTGAGTTCAAGGCCAGCCTGATCTACATAGCAAGTTCCAGGCAGGCCAGTCAGGGCTACATGGTAAGACACTATCTGAAATATAAACTGAAATAAAAAGCCTTAAAAGAATTGGTGAGTTTCTTCTTCTGAAGTGATAGTGCATCTCTAACACCTAAAGTCCTGAATAAGTGGAATTCTTACTGCTGACAACAGAAAAAGCTAACAACGTGTTCCTATTATTTTTTCCTTCCCTATACGTCCCAAACTGGCTTGAAATTTATAGTGTTCTTGCTTTCACCTCCATAGGGCTGGGATGAGAGGCATGCACCATCATGGTCAGTTCAAGGTGATTTATGTGAATGAGCATGTGTGCTTGCTTGAAGACCAGAGGCTTATGTTGGGTGTCTTCCTCCATCACCCTTCACTTTATCTTTAGCGAGAGAGTCTGTAAATGGATCCAGAGCTCACTGATTGGCTAAAAGACTAGCACTCTGGGGGCTGACCTCTCTCCAAGCTCCAAGTTCTGTAGGACCTTAAAAGGCAGCCTGGTTTCTTGTAGAGCACAGGCTGGAAACCCCAGTGATCCCAGGTGATCCTGAGGGACCCCAGGTGATCCTGGGACGGCAGGTGTTTCGCCACCCTCCCAGACTCTAGGCTCCTGACACGAGGCTGCAGCCCTCCATAGATTTGTGTCCTTCAGTCAAGTAGGGCAACGTCCCCAGCCCCTGCACAGGTAGAGGATGTGACTACAGGCCACAGAGCCTCAAGACGGATCTCTATTTTAATGAAGTACCTAAAGGCCATAAGGGCTTAGCCAATTAAGCTGTCCTTCCCAGACACTCCTCCCTACAAAAGGTATTTAATCTCAGCCCCGCCTTGAGGAACTGGGGTACAGTTTTCCCATCTGATTTTCACCATGATAATAAATGTCTTAAACCATGGACTGTTTCTATTATTGAGATCCTCTGTGGGGAGCCATAGAGAAGGCCTTCGCCTACAGAGCCACGTCTGATCTCCCACAGAAGGCTTCTCTGCATTCCCAGCCACGGAGACCACAAACCCAAGCCAGCTGCCAGCTGCGACCAAGCCAAGGACTTCCTCCTCTCAGACTCAGCCAGAGCTTCTCTCCCTCTCCACTTTGGCCATGGTGGATCCAGCCCGCGGACCTCCACTTCATTCTCAGCTCCTCTACCGCTTCCATCAGTGCCTGGGTGCCCAAGAGCCTGAGAACCAGACAGTCCCCGACCGCTCTGCAGGCCCAGGGACCTCGGAGCCAGCTCTGGCTGGTCCAACACCTCAGACTGTGCTCCCCTCACCAGCAGTCAAACTTCCCGCACAGTGCCTCCCCAAGAGGCCCTAGCCCTGTGGCGGGGCCACAAGACCCCCATTTAACCCAACAAAGTTCTATTACAGATGTCTGTAGCCACGCTCAGTTTCCATATGGGTGCCAGGGTTCTCAGATCCTCATGCTTTTATGGCAGGCAACTTAACTATCTCTCTAGCCATCTCTAAATAATTTGAACATATAACAGAAGTCACAGTGAGGCAGTTTAAGGTTAATGATCATTTAATAGTTTAACAAGTTCACTTATAAACATATCGTATGCACGTACAGGGAGAAAACGGGCTCAGTAGAGGCAACAGAATAACAGAAGCAATCACAACGAAGACTGCCTGCATCCTCTGCCTTTCACTTACATAGACTAGAAGGCAAAATGAGAGGTTACATAGGATCAGCAGATGGAGAAAATAAACCTGAACCATTCTGTCTCAAACGCAAGAACTTGCTACACTCCAGAAGGCTGCTGTGGGCACTAACGACCTAAGACGAGCCTTCTTGGCAAGGGACAATCTAAGGAAGCCTCAGGCTTTCCTCTTTTGTATTTAAGGTTCTTAACTCAAAGAACTAAAAGAGCAATAACATCAACCACGCACAGTGTCAGGAGCCAGCCTCTTCCAGCCCTGCGTCATTATTTAAAAGTCTCCGTGGAGGAGGAGACATGTTTCCCAACGCCAGACAAGTAGTTCCCTCCAACTCATGAATCTCTCTGAGGTACAAAATAATGTGGCAAAAGCCATCCAAAGGGCGGCGCCTGTGAGGATCGGGGCTGAGGAAATGAGATGTCCGGAAAATGTATTCCGTACTGGGTATGCAATCAAGTAAAACTGGTGACAGGAAATGATCAGGCTCAACTATGGCTGTCTGTTACAGCTAGACACACTGGGGTCAGGGGCTAGGCAGAGCATACTCATGGGACAATAGGAGATAATTCTGTTAAGGTACTTCAGGGACACGACTCAATACTCTGTGGTTTTAGGAATCCCAGTAACTAACTTCAAAATTAAAATCCCTGTATAACACTAAAACTGGTTTTAGTGTTTTGTAAGTAAAGCACGGAGCTTTACGAATGGTGACACTGTGAGCAAATGGCAGTCTCATAGCACAGGATGTAAAATCAGCATTACGCTTATTAAAGTGACGCTACGAGCCATCCATACCACGTTGCCCTAACCCCATCCATCAGAAATGACAAAGAAGCAAACATCAGCTGGAAACGGGCAGTTCTGTATCAACAGGTCCCCAAGGAGTAGCGAGAAAAACACCACGGGCACCACCTCATCTGCTTGGCAACTGTCGCACATGAAGATCTATTGAAGACTTGAACTGACGAAGAGAGTCGCCCAGCAGTTCGGCAAGGCAGCACGCATGCGCTGGACTGGGCATAGTCAGACTATGCAAAGTAGAGGGCGGGGTCTTCACTGTGCCGCCCCACCTTTGTGTGTATGTGTGTGTGTGTGGGGGGGTGTTACTGTTTAAAACTAAAACATGGCGGTCACAAAGTTGGACTTGGGAGCTTTAAAACATGAAAGAACAGAAAATTGAAATATGTGGAACATGTATTCTCTAATACTGTAAATACAAACTCTTGTCAGAAAGCCAGATTGTGAGCTTCCCAGAGTGTCACACATTTGGGGACTAGAAATGTTTTAAGCTCTTCTGTCATGAGCAGGTCAGGACTGAGAACAAGGCTGGATCCCCACTAACATGAGGGATTAGAACAAATCCCTGAGATGTTCTACCCAATCCCATTTCTCACTCAAAACCTGAGTCTCTCTGGACAACCACGGGGCCTCCCTACCACTGACGAGGAAGAGCCTCTCCAGGAGCTAAAGAGTACCCATGTGCAGCTTGGGCCCTAGAAGGCCTGAGGCAGGAACATTCTAACTAAGGCTCTCCCCAGTTCCCCTCACCATACTTTCTTTACAAGTAGAAAAATAGTCTCTATAGGCTCTCTGCAGATTGAGTGGCAATCAATACGCCTAAAGCAGACACTGAAAACACATCGCTGGGCAGCTCCCAGCATACCTCTACCCACTGGCACTCACCTCTTCATTCAGCAGGGCTTAAAGGGAAAGGCTCAAATCAATTCCTAACTCCAGACTAATGCCAATCATCCCTGGTATAAAGCAAACAGAAGAGTAACAAGAAAATAAAACTGGGCAGATTCCTGGAGCATAATTTTTAAAGGGAGTGGCTGGCCCTCTGTATCCCGAGCAGCCAATCCTTCTGGTACCTAGGAGCTCCAAGGGGTAAGTTATGGGGTCCTCACACCACCGCCCTTCGGGAGACAGCAGCCCACAGCTCCTACGGTAACATGCAGCTGGGGTCTAGAGTGAGACACCACAGTTCAAGAAGCTGCGACTCTCCTCACCACACTTACACACATCCTCCCCCGTCACCATTATTATTATTGGCATAGAAGGAAAGCCGTCCGTCAATTCAATATTGCACCTAACTGAACAGAAAATGCCGGTTTAATTGGGTGTGTTTACATAAAACCATCCAAGAGGCCCTAAGAAACTTGGCGCAAGCCGGAACCCAGAAGGACCCAGGCTCTCACCCACAGCGCGCTTCGGGCTTTCTTTGTGGTACCATGCAGGTCAGTCACAATTATTAGATTACCACCTTCAAAAGAACTACTTAAATTATTATGAAAGACACTTGTCACAAACAGAAACGCCCTGCAAATCAAATTATTGCACACAGGACTAACAGAAGCTGTGCACAGAAAACGCTGAAGGCTTTAGAAGACCCAGAACAGAGAGCCCAGGGCCATGCCTGTGGCTGCCCCGGCAAGCATGCCCAGAGCCAGGTCACTGTCATTGTCTCGGTACCGCTCGCGGATGATGACTTGGTTGGTAGGCTGTTGTCCATAAACTCCTAGAAAAGAAGAGAAAAGAGATCACTTATGATGTAATTTGGAAGTACACCATTCACTGAAAAGATGGCGCCCTTACCATAGACACTGTATCTAATCTCCATATGGCCAGCTTGTTCACTAGTTGGCGTTCAATGCCCTTCAGAAAAGTGTTAACAGGTGGCTCCAGTGAGTTCAACCCAACCCTTTCCAAGGGCCACCATACCATGCATATGCTCAGGAAGACACTGTTGTAATTTATAAAAGATGATATGTGGGAGGCTGGAGACATGGCTTAGTGTTAAGAGCACTTGCTCTTGCAGGGGATCAGGCACCCACACGTTACCTCACTAGCATCAGTAACTACAACTTCAGGGGATCCAATGCCCTCTTCTGATCTCTGCAAGAACCAAGCATGCACTATGTACATACTCATACAGCCAGACACTCATGCATGTTAAATAATTTTTAAAAGATGTACATAGGGCCTGGCATGGCGGGGTACACCTTTAATCCTAGCAAGTGGGAGACACTAAGAGGGGGAATCTCTGTGAGTTCAAGGCCAACCTGGTTTACACAGTCAGTTTCAGGCCAGCCAGGGATACCTAGTGAGAACCTGCCTTAAAAGACAGGAGGATGGTACAAACTTGCAGAGAGGAAGTTGATCATCCTTCAGAAGAACTTTATTGTTGGAGTGTGGTGGTTCAGATGAAAATGCCCCTATAGGTTCATATGTTTAAATACTCGGTCCCCACGTGGTTGAACTGTTTGGGAAGAATTAGAAGGTGTGACCTTATTGAAGAAGATGTGTCTCCAGAGGTGGGATTTAAAGATTTCAAAAGCCCATGCCATTCCCAGTTAGCTCTCTCTCACTCTCTCTTGCTCTCTCTCTCTCTCTCTCTCTCTCTCTCTCTCTCTCTCTCTCTCTC